GCCATGGTACGGCAGGGGGTATGGGTTGCACCCCGATTTTGACCGTCAAATGATTCGCGAAGCTGAGGCTTTGAGGAAACGTGGACTCTGCGTCCTTGATGCCACATCGCTTATCAAGTGTACTACACGATACGACGGCCAGCACATGGAGAATTCGGAGCACAACCGTCTCCAGTGCATTCGCTTCTATTCCGAAGCTGGCGTTCTCGGCTATCATCTTTTTCGACTTCGGTCGTGCAAGCCATTGATTGAGATGGCTGAGATGAAGAAGCGCCGCGAGGAATCGCTGGCCAACCCTCAACCTGAAAACAACCCTCAATGGGAAGAGATGGAAGAAGTGTTGGTCTCCATGGACGTGGACGGTTGGGAAATCTATGTGAAGGAGACCCGACCCAAAGGGCAACGGCTTCCCAATGAAGTTGACCCCGCACGTGCACAAGTCGCACAGGCTCCTACGGTGCAGGATGATGCCACTGTGGCCTCATCAAACTGGCAGCTTTTGGAGTCCGTGGATGCTGCACTGCCGGGGGAACCCGAGCACTTTGAACCGCATGAGGTCAAAGAGCCGGAGATGGATGGTGAGCTCATCGACGCCATCCTCAAGCCCTTTTTGGATCGGTTGCCGGGTGTTTCCGACGAGCGTGACATTGACGAGCCGGATGCTGACGAGGAGATTGTCTTCAGAGAACCCATCGTCGGCGGCTCAGCATCAACGTTTAGCCAGCGGAAGCTGCGCTCCCATCTGATGAATAAGATCCATGCTGTGGACTTCAGATTGGATGGTTCTGGCGTAGTGAACATCTTGGACACCGACGTCACGCGTGACCCTGCCAAGCTTGAACTTCGGCAGGAATCCATGCAGCAGACCGAAGAGGGTGCAGTCATCATTCGTCGCTTTGACTTGACGGATGAGGAGAAGCATCGTCAGATGGAACGGGAGATCTTTGAGGAGCCCAAGACCGCCGAGGAGTGACCCTGCTGCCACTGTCCAGATCATGTCGAAGGCCAAGTCGAAGGCGGCTTCCTCATCCGAAGCGGCATCATCTTCGAGCGGCATCGCACAGGTGATCGGGGACACTGTCAGCCAATTCATCAAACCAAAGATGAGGGATCAGGCTACCATGATTCAGCCCAAGCCTGCTCCGCGGCTCCCAAAGGTTTCAACGGCGACGGGAACGTCTCCCATGGCGTCCCCAAAGCCCAGTCCGCCACCGACTCCGAAGAGTGCAACTGGATCCCCCAAGCCGGAACCACCTGCACTCCCAGCGGAAGCTGCGGACCATCCAATGCCCAAAGCTTTGCCCTTTAAGGCACCGCCTGCAACGTTGACAACAACCTCACCGAGGGCACCTCCGCAGAAGTCATCGGCGCCTGCAGCTACGTCTTCGTCGGAGCTTGCCCCGAAGATGGCCAAGAAGGAGCCGCCTATGGCAAGCGCTCCTCCCCCGGGAACGGGTGGACCTCAGCCTCCGGCTGAACCGCCCTTGCGACCACAGGGATATCCCAAGTGGTACTTTTTCTCCCCGGGAACGGGCGAGCGCAGGGAATTCACCGTTCGGTGTACCGACCTGCCAGGCCTGAGGGACCTTGGAAGACTCAGTCATGATGATTTCAAATTTTCAAAGAGGGTGACCGGGCTGCTCCGTGGATATGATCACAAATTCCTCGAGGCGCATCATCGCCATATTCCTCCTGAATTTGATGAGGAGCTGTACTTGAACTTTGAGTCCATGTACGCGTACCTCCGAAAGCGGCATCGTGCTCAGCTTTCGCGACAGGACTTGTACCTGATTCTTCGAACTCAGGACAGGTTCATGTGCCGCATTCAGGCTGGAATTGTCGGGGAACTGACAACCATGGACATGCCCTACCGCATCACCCACGTGAAGGCCTGCCAAGGCCATGACCAGTCGCTCATTGACAAGGTGGGAACGGCTCCATTGGTCAAACAAATCATCTCGCTTGACTACCAGTTCACGGTCGAGGATTTGAAGAAGGGATTCTACCCCAGGGTTCCCATTTATCCTCACCTGGCGGAAGCCGAGGTCTCAGAAGAGTTTAAGGTTATTTACCATTACACTTCATGGGACTCCCTCCAGCAGATCATTTGCACGGGGATTTTTCCAGGGGCCACTTCATGCAAGGGTCATGCGTATATGACCCGCCATGCGCCTTGGGAAATCGAAGGCAAGGATCCTGGCGTCAGGACGAACAGACCGCTGTGCATCGCGATCGACACCGATTGTGCTCTGCACTATGGTCTTCGCCTGGTGGAAACCTTGGCCGGTGCACTCATCACTGAGGACTGGGTGCCCAATCATTGCCTCATCTACGCATTCGACTGCGAGAAGTCGCAATACCTTTGGGCGAACCATGGCTACAACGGTGTGAAGAAGTACCTTCGGCAGAAGGCCTCCGAGAACGCTCTCACTTGGCAAGAGAACGAGGCTTGGAAGGGCACTCCCAACTATGACGAACTTGAGAGGTACGAGATTTCGGACCTGGAGGTGTTGAAGAACATGTTCGTGAATGAGTACGATCAGTGGAAGGATGTCATCACTCTGCGACGTCCGCTCATTTACAAGGAAGTTCCGACACCATACCCTGTCGTCGATGAGTTGCTGCCCAAGTTCAAGCAAAGGCCGCTCAACTTCACCAATCTCCTCTGCGTGGCACGCAAGCCGACGGCAACAGCTGCTGGCTTCGACATCGCCCCTGACAACGCGCGGGAACGCCGTTCTGATCGCTTCGATCAGGAGGCATTTGACCCATCCGCGGAGGGGAACCTCACGCGCTGGCGGTATGTATCAATGCTGGCAATGCCGGAATTGACATGCCCCCGGTGCAGGAAGATTTTTCCTGAGGGGATGTTGGTTTGCCTTGCATGCGGCTTGTCGTTGGCGACAATGTCCGACATGCGCCGTGCGTGTCAGGTGTTCCGCCTGGAAGAGTTGGCTGAGAAGCTGGGCTTCGAGCTGACGTTGGATCTTCTGGGTGATGACGATGTAGCAGGCACCACACAAGGTGCCAAGCAGATCAGATCTGCTGCTGCAGTCCTCAAAAATCACGCCCGCTCATACATGAAGCAGGCGAGAAAAGCTGGACTGACTTTGCTACAGCGTCTGGGAACGGACGCCCATTACGCCTTTAATTGTGCGGTCCAGGACCTTACACCTCGGTGTATGCATTGGATTACAGTTCTGGGCAATGTGGTGCTTCCCTCCATCAAGCGCACGCGAGAGGAGATCCGAACTGGAAAGATTCGGCAGTACAAAGCGCGTATGTGCATGGTCGCATACGAAGAGGAGCAAATGAAGACGATCATCGTGGATGATCATGTACTCATCTGGTACAAGAACCGCTTTTACAGAGCCAACCAGTTCGCGGCCGCCTATGCCTTGATCCCGGTGGCCGAACGTTTTGAGGTCTTGAGCGTCGCCAACACGACGTTCCAATCCCTTGCGTTGTCCAAGCAGGATGTGTATGCCGACATTCTCAGCTATGTTGAGGACATCCTGCGCCCCCTCACGGAGGCAAAGGACACGGAAGGCGGAAGCCGACCCCTACCTGCAACGAGGCAGCAGAACCCGGATGTCACCAGGTCCTCGCGTCCTGGCTATGGTTCTCATCAGGGGCCCACTCATGGCTACAGTCAGCAGGAATGGAATGACTACTACAATCAGTGGACTGACCAGGAGTGGGAAGATTGGCGCCGTCGAAATCAAGGCCACCAATACAGGGATCGACGTTGGTCGGGCTATCGCTGAGGCACCGCGGAGGGGAACCTCTCGCCTGGTGGATTTATCTTCATCTGAGGCGGGGTAGTTTTCTCTCAAAGTGAGGTGTCGCACAGCGGAAGCTGTTGCCTTTTCGGATTTAATTCGGTTAGGCGACTAGCTTCATTTTTGCACGCGTGGGTGAGCGATTCCACGATCATTTCCAACACTAGTGTGCTAAGTCGGAATTTTTGCCAACTCAGTCAAGTTCACAAAAGTTTCATTAACGCTTTGAATGCATATAATTTGAAGCAGGCATTTGGCACTCATCTTATTCTTGCCATGATTCCTTCTTGCATAGCACACGGCTGGTAGTTGCATGAACCGCAGAGCGGAAGCTCTTGCCTTGCGAAGTTAAGGCATCTTTGAAGCATTTCCGAAAGCTTCCCTGCGGGTTCACATCGAAACCGAATTCAGCATTTTGCTTTAATTCATTTTGTTTGCTTCGGCATGCTCCCGGGCGTCCACAAGAACTTTTGATGCCGCGTGGAAACGCTGGCCTTTGTAATGGGCCACACTTCAACACGTTTGCATGTTCGACCACAAGCCCGGTAGAGCCAAAATGAAACTGAATGCATTCGGCCGAATTGACTTGCACTGCATCCTTCTTTCGCACAACGTGACGTTAGATTGAATGGATTGCTATCGCTGTTGATCTTGTTTGTCAACTTCGTGCAACGCTGAGGTGAAAGTACGAAAGACTTCGAAAGGTTAGGCGACGGTCGGGTTTGGGTTTGTTGTTGTGTTTTCTGTTTATGTTAACTAATGGCATCCCTAACTAGACTGTACATAGCCTAATTTGCAGCTTCACTACCCGGGCGGTAACTACACTGCACGGGGGGTGTTGTTGCACAGTCTTTATGCATGTATACATACTTTTCACCTTATAGATTGTGTTGCATTGGCTCAAGAAACATGCTTTGCAGGGTGTACTAGGTTTGTGGCTTATCCCGGTTTCTAGCTTGTTTCTACATATTACATAACATGCATGGTTATACCATACATGATAGATGCGTATTCCCTACACCGAATGTTGAACTACCCTCTGGTTATTTAACATAGCCATGGACAATTGCCATTTATAGTTGATTTACCCATTAAAACCTCCATTTATGGTTGGGATTTTCCATGGCTATGTTAGTCATAACCAGATGGTAATGAATTGAGTTCCAATCCATCTGCCAAGATTCTCCGGCGACAATCCTGGAATCGGACGCCCTTTAGGTTTATGCACTACGGCACCTTTTCGCGGACCTTCCTCACGATGTCGGGACGCACAGAAACGAAACCTGGGTTTGAGTTTGGTAATCAAACATGGCAATGGAAAATCACCCAAGTATAGATGATTTTCCCATGAGCACCTCCATTTATAGGGCATTTCCCAGCTTGATCCAAAGTTCTGCTGCCTGTTTGTCTTTGAATTTGCAACCTCACAGACTTTAGAAGCATCAACCACTCTTGCCACCCAGAAGTCTAAGGGGAAATCATCCCAATCAGCCGTTCTTGAGGCTAGTGAATTAGTGCAAGAAACACATGACAGACCCTGATATCAAATTAGTGATTCTTATATCCCTGTTATATACCCTTCGTGATTTCACCTTGCGATTGAACATGATGAAATTATAGTCGGTGATTTACCTATTTTTCATGGTGATTTTCCACATCTTCATTTACCAGAGGGCAATTATTCGTTGACATACTTTGATACCCACCACCCACTACATCACCATTTTGGATACTTAAATCCTACTAGGATCCCACTATTTCACCATGTTGGATACTGTAGGTTTGAGATCCTGTTTGCCAATTGGGGTCCGCCCGCGCGCATCTTGGTGGACAACGTCAGCGACCCGGCAGTGAAGCCAAAAATGGTGGTGGGGCGTAGCCGCGGTCCAGGGGAGGTAGAATGCAACCCTTGAAAAAAATGTAGAAAAACAAAAAATCCAAGCCTAAAACCATATAATACTTGTCGTTTTGTTTGGTGGGTTGCGATTTGAAACAAGAAGTGAATTACCATGTAATGTCATTTCTTGCGAACCAAAAGGGATGTATTGAGCCTAACCAACCAATTTTGGTCAGCAGGGCAACTAACACTGTTCAAAGAAAGTAAAGAAATGCATTTAGCTGTGCTCGCCGTGGATATGCAAAGAAACTACCCCAACATAGGTTAATGTTTCTGTTTCCCAGAGTGATTCAAACATCAGCATGGAATTAGATCTCAAAATTGGGCGTATCCTACTTTGTAGCAGTTTGGTTCGGGAAAATGTTGATCAACCATGACATTTTGCGGCACCCTATCGTCAGACAACTCCATTTACCTTCGCCCTAGCACATTGTTTTTAAGTCCTATAGTAATCACCGTGTGTGTTCATGGCCTATTTTCCTGGGTTTCCGAATCTGTGTTTGCGAAATGGACAATCACCATCGTTCATGAAGAGGTAAAATTATCAAACCTTTATGGGCCATCGATATCAGTGATATCAGTTCACAATTTTTAGGTACTGTATATAGGTGATGTTTGATTCTTGTAACCTAGGAAAAGGATGGAACAGGTGGATTGGGGAGTCAGGGTCAGGGTCGGTTCCCATGGGGTTCCCATGGCTCCCCAGAGGCTACTGTACCTATGCTCAGAATCCAGTGCAGTGAATTGGTTCGTGAATTTTGGCCATCCATGGGACGGCTTCGCTGCAGGTGAGTGGTATTCCATTTTCTTTCTGCTCTATCGCTGTGTGCTGGGCTTTGCTGTGCTTTGGTTGCGATATGTTGCGATCTACTTTTGGGTCTCCAAAAGTGGATTCCATCCCCAACACCATATCTAACCATGGTGAAACTGGGGGATGTTTGAATGTAGAGAGATGGGTTTGTAAAGAACTGAAAGCAGAAATCTGACCACCGAATATGGGTGAAATCATGTGACAGTGTCTACAGCTATCACTTGCCAACCAAAGGGTGAAAGAGTCAGTTATAAGCGAGTTTGCCGTGGCAGGGTCAGGCACTATTGTTTGTATATCATTGATTATCTATATGTATATCTATATATGTATATCTGGGTATTTGTCGAAAGGGCGGTGCTATAATGTTTGGTACCTGTGATACAGCTGGCAGCCGAGGTGATCAACGTGGTCAACGCGACTTGGAGGGCAGGGTGTCCATTTAATCATTTAGTACCGAGTCAACCTTGGGTGCTTCAGTACTTCAACCCTAGGTCAATCTTAGATGGTATCCATGGGATCTAAGATTGGCCATGAACCGCGTCACGCAGTCTTTCGCTTTAAATGGAGATAATCACCCCAACTGAGTGAAAAAACTAATAGCAATTTGCTGCAGGGTATTTCACGTTGGCCACGTAAATGGAATCATTCTGAAGTCGATGTGAGTGGATGGATTTGCTCTTAAATTATCAGGCGGGTTTTCAGGTGTTTTTGCATGTTTGGAATGGTCCAAGTCCAAGTTCATTTTCTGTACTTCAGGGCGGTGCTGCCAGTATACCGCAGAAGCAGCAACTGTCACGCTTCTGTTTGGCTGGCTCTTAGTATGTGCTTAGAATGAAAGTGAAACGTTATCCGTATCTTTAAATGATGAAAGTGATAGTAATAGTCATTATGGTAGCAATATTATAGGGGCAAAGTGTTGAAACCACATCCTTCTTGGTACTGCCCTATGAAAATAACCCTCTCCCCAATCAACTCAGGCCTACATGCTTATCCAGGGTTGACACAAGCACTTTTTCTGAGCCATACCCACTGACCGCTGGTTTCTGTTTGTTTGAATCTGAAGATTGTCTGTTAATTTCCACGTTGGTGAACCCCCATTGGCTGAGTCAAGTTCGAGTAGATGTCATGCATATTTGGTACTTGTATGATCATCCCCCGATGACTAACAGCGACTCTAGTAGCATGTGTCAGGTGATTGTTGGACCAACCATAGATTTCCCATAGATTTCTGATGTTTCTCCAGTCCATTCCAGTCCCAGCAATAAGGCAATTTTTGTGCAGCAGACGCTGAAAACGGCTAGCTCGGATGAAGAACTGTCCTTCAAACAGACCCTTGGAATGGCTGGTTATCTCTCTTTCTCTCTCTGCGTTTGGCTGGGCTGGGATTGCTTCACATATTTAATCTTATTTCGATGTTTGCTATATAACATAATCTATATACATATACATATACATGTAAAATCATATATATATATAGGTATATATAGCATCAACGTATATAATATTTAATTATGATATGGGTGTGTGCATGTACGGGTTTTGTGCTGATTCGGTTTCTTTGTCAGCAATTGCTATCCGGTGGCCATGGTGGCTACCGCCAATGCTCCGCTCCAAGGAAAGAAAAAGATATTGCGATGTACGCGAACAAGGCGTTGTCAGTTAAGCGTTGGCCCTCCATTCAGGGGCTGAAACAGGGTTGCTCCAAGCTAGGTTTTTCATGAATTGCCACAAAGGGTGGGGACTGGCGGTTTTTTCTTCTGACCCTTTACCCAACTTCCATCAAGTTCCTCGGTTTAGTATTTGGGGTGTTGAATATCCCCGTTTGTGAGAAATTCAGCAACACCCCCAGGCAAATGCTTCGCAACTGCCTGCCACTTCCATTTACCCGCTTCCCTGATTTCCCATTGCGACTCGGGACTCGTTAGTAATTAACCCTGGTGAGTTGTTGTCGTTCGTAAGTCCCCAAAAAGGTTATCCTGTTTATAAGTGGTTGAACTAAGCCTAACTAAGCAACTAAGCCTTGCGAACCAAAAACAAACCCAGCCAGCATTTCTGATTTTTTTGTGCGATGATTTCCCATGGTGCCACGGCAGGTCAAAAAGCTCTTCCAAACCATGGACTTTTCAGGAGATGGAGCCATCAATTTGGAGGAGCCCAGGGTGCGCCCCAGGGTGCCTTTTCGTTTCCGCCTCGGGCTGAGTCATGGTGGGTGAATTTCTTTGAGGAATTCATGGAGGATCTACCCTCTGGTAAATTTAACCCCCTGGTATTATCATGGGATTTATGGTGATTTAATGGGATATTAATGGGATCTACCGGCCCGGTAAATTTAACAGTTTGCGACATAGAACATGGCCCAGTCGAAATAGTGGATTTACCCAGCTATAAAATCATGGACCTTTCCATAGTTATGTGGCAACGTTTACCAGAGGGATCCAGAGGGTATAGAGGATCTCTTCTGAGATCAGGGTTCCTGATCAAAATCTCTCGAAATCCTTTCTTTGCTCAGGATGGCTATGGCTCGACAACTGGCGGTTGCACGTAACATTGACGGTTATACCATGTTATACCT